CATTGTGCCCAAAACTAATATTTCAGTATTGGATACTGTGATATATTGAATCACCAACACAAGTCTCAGGAGAATTCTATCAGTAAGATATCTCAGGATTAACTACTATAGCATTTTCTTCTAAGGCACTGTTTCTTAAACTACAATATGTGTCAGGATCCAAGTTGGGTTGGATAATCCCTCCACTGGCTTCCGATTGCCCAACGGATCAAATTCAAACTGCTAACACTGACGTACAAAGCTGTCCATCATACTGCCCCAATCTACATCACCACCGACCTAATATGCAAATATCATTCAACACACACTCTACGATCCTCACTAGACCTCCTTCTCTCTAGTTCCCTGGTCTCCTCCTCCCATGCCCACCTCCAGGACTTCTGCAGGGCATCACCCATCCTCTGGAACTCCCTACCCCAATCCATCAGACTATCACCTACTCTCCTCTCCTTTAGGCGCACCCTGAAAACCCACCTCTTCAAGGAAGCCTACCCCACCCCCTGCTAATTGCCGACCTCCTCCACTCTTCCTATCACTCCATTCCCCACAGCCATTTCCTCTTGTACCAATATCCCCTTTCCCCTAGATTGTAAGCTCAAAAGAGCAGGGCCCTCGAACCCCTCGTGTATCACATTGTATTGTTTTGTACTGTCGCATGTACTGTCTCCCATTGTAATGTACAGCGCTGAGCGAACTGTTGGTGCTTTATAAATACTGTATTATAATAATAATAATAATAATAATGTTTGGGATAGCTTACCAAATGACAATGGGGTTGATTTACTAAATCTGGAGAGTGCAAAATATGATGCAGTTGTGCATGGTAGCCAGTCAGCTTCTAACTTCAGCTTGTTCAGTTAAACGTTGACAAAAAATCTGGAATCTGATTAGTTTCTATGCTCAGCTGCACCAGATTTTGCACTCTCCAATTTTAGTAAATCAACCCCTTTGTGCCCAATTGCAAATCAGCAGATCATGGCAAGTGATAGAACACTAACCATGAATGTAGCACAGACACACACAGGGAACTAGAGTGCATGTGTGGCAGGGTGGAAGGCAATTACCCAGAATTCTGCCTAGAACTTTGAGCTGAACAGTGCTATATTTACGGTCAATCATATAAACACAATCAGTGTGGTAGGCTTGGAGTAGAAATGGTGCTGCTGAAAATTGCTATTTACAGTGAATTGGTACTATTCACAGTCAGTGTATGTTGGAGAGACCTGGAGTAGCTAGTTATCAATGGAACATGTGTGCAGCTCTCCAACTGAAAGGGCAGAGAGCTGGAGAAATGAAGGTTATAGACAGTTCGAAAATCGGCCATTTTTAAAAAAAAAAATGAAAAATTGGTCATTCAATCGGCCGATGTTACCACCAACGGTAAAAAAAATCAGCCGATTTTCGTCTACGGCCAGCGTTTTTACTCCTGTCCCTTGCAGAGAGCTCCGCTATTATATTTTACATGAAAAAGTCTTGCGGTTGCAACAATGTATCCATTTGTATCAATTTTGGATACAGATGTTTTTATTCAAATAGATACATTGTTGCAACCGCAAGACTTTTCATATAAAATATAATAACGGAATGGAATTCTTCTTCTTTTTCTTCTTCTTCTTCTTGCAGGCCATTGCTCATGCTCACATTTTTTATCAGTAAAACGATCGGCTGATTTGCCCATCATTGCCGGGAAAATCGGGCGAACGTCAAAAATCGGCCGTGAATTTTCCAACTTTACCGATAAGAAAAGTGCCAAAACCCCAAGAACTGACGACCAATTAACCCACTAACAGTGCGAAAATCGGCTGATTTTTTTTTTGCCCGAAAAATCGGCTGATTTTCAACCCGTCTATGGCCTGCAAAAGAGTCTGCAGGAGTCTGGCATTGCACCTAAGATCCACTAATTGTAGGTGAAATGCTTTGCAGGCTCCTTTGCAAAAAAATAATAAATGCACATTTTTTTCCCTGCAAAAATGTACATTTGTTTATTTTTTTAAATGTGGATTTAGCTTTTGAAATGGAGGAAGTTATTTGGCAGATTTAGTTCCCATTGACTTCAAAGGGGGATAGATTTGGCATAAAGACTAAAGAACCAGGTGGTTTCAGCTTATGCCTTCTGACTACCCCTGGCCTGTGGAGCACCCAACTCTCCTTCAAGCCCAGACCAATCTTGAGTTTAAAAAAGTAATGCAATTACAAAAAAAAAAGCTGCATACCTATCTGTCAGCAGGCACTATAGTGCCAGAGTCTGCACTTCATTGGCTAGGGATATGTGATATGTCATCGGGTCAGGGATGGAAGCTATGATGTCTGTTTGAATGCTGATAGGAGATTACTCAGGGACAATTTTCAGGATGATACCCCTTCCTCAGCTTTAACATCCTACTGGGTTTATATTCCTTTTATTTGTAGGTTTCATTAACACAATTGAGTTTAGTTTCATAAATTTATCAGCTGTTTTTTGCAATACTACTAAGTATTTCATATACATGATCATTGCATCATAGAATGGCAAAATATTGTCTTAAAAGCTTACTAAAAATGAAGAAGTACATAAATCTCTAAAGAACTCTAAGAACCATCAGCAAATGTGAAAAAGAAAGTTTTATTAAGTAAATGTGAAAAAGCAACCTATACATTTCCAAATTCTAATGATTCAATGCTCTTCTGCTGGTCCTTTTACAACAAGGAACTGCATCTTGGCATGCATGTCACCTATACAAAATAACATGTGTTTTCATGCGTTAATCATGTCTCTTGTATATGTTTAGCTGTTTTATTTGTATTTGTATACTTCTTATTTATTATTTTCATTTTATTGCCAAAAAAGGCACAGACATTCTTCTTAAAGTGTGTATCTATGCTTAAAATGTAAAATCATTATATTCATTGTATTTCAATTATTTCTAGCCTATTTCTATTAATCTGAATGGTCTTGAAGTTCAAAAACTTACTTTGTGAAGATCCCTACACATTTCATATTTTTTCATCTCTTTTCTTTTCATATTTTTTAAAATTCTATCACATGTATCACTATGCACTGCTGTGTCACAGAAATTCACAGAACCTGCCTTCTGAACTACAGAAGTACTGATGCTGAGAGGAGGAGTTTCTGGAGGCAGAGTAAGTACTGAGTTCACTCCTTTGAGGCAGCAAGGTACCAGTGCTGGAATAAACTCTGTGGAGGCCTCTGGGAAGCATTGACAGATCTAGGGGGTGCTGGGGTGGGCTATGCCCCCCAAATTTCAGTTGTGTCCCCCCAGGCAACCCATAGAGCTTCTCCAACAAGAGAAGCTGTCTGCAGCAGCTCACACAGCCCAGACAGCACATTCCCTCCTCCCCTTCCCTGCACTCATATTAGAGGAGAGAGTAGATTGATGTACACTGCCTCCTCCCACCCTTCTCTTCCTGTCTGCCCCGCCCACACTCCAATTGTCACATCTTCTTAGGCCAGTGCTGTGCCTAAGAAGATGTGTGGGACATTTGAAGCACTGCAGCCAGCAATTACATGGTGTCTGCAGGATTAATTCCTCTGTCTGAGCCTGTAGAGACCAACCTGGGTGAGCTGAGCTCTGCACTACAGCAGAGCTCTCCCCATCTCTCTACCTTCTGTCCCCCATCTATCTTCCCACCTTCTATCTCCCCCCTCCCCCTCCCCCCTTTTATCTCTCCCCCTTCTACCCCCTCTTTCTCTCCACCTTTCCCCCCTCTATCTTCCACTCTTCTCTCCCCACCTTCTCTCCCCCCTCTATCTCCCCATCTTCGCCCCTCCATCTCCCCACCCCCCATCTCCCCCCTTCTCTCCCCATCTATGTCCTCCCTTCTCTCACCCCTCTTTCTCCCCCCATCCCCCTCCTCTCCTCCTCTTCCCCCCCCTTCTCTCCCCCTCTATATCCCCCCTTCTACTCCCCTCTATATTTCCCCTTTTCTCCTCCTCTATCCCCCCACCTTCACCCCCCCTCTATCACTGTCCCTTCTCTCCCCCCTCTATATCCTCCCTTCTCTCTCCATTCTATCTCCCTCCCTTCTCTATCCTCTCTATCTCCCCCCTTCTCTTCCCCCTCTTTCTCTCCCCCCCTCTATCCACCTTCTCTCCCTATCTATCCCCCCTTCTCTCCCCCCCATCTCCCTCCCTTCTCTCCCCCCTCTATCTCTACCCCTTCTCTCCCCCTCTACTACCCCTTTCTCTCCCCTGTCTCCCCCCTCTACCCCCCTTTTCTCCCCCCTCTATCCCCCTTCACGCCTCCATCTAGACTCTACTTTAAACTTGAATTTGAAAACAAGAATATGATTAGAAAATCAAACGAATTTTCTTGAAAAGAAAATTCTCAAATGAAAATCTACATGTGTATGGCTAGCTTAATGATTAGAAAATCAAATAAATATTCTTGAAAGGAATATTCTTGGCCAAAAATCTACATGTGTATATCGGTACACGAATGATCAACTGTTTTTTCTCACCTGTTAGTCTCACATCAAAAGTGAAAAGGTTACTAAAGATACAAAAATTCAGGTACGAAAGAAAAGAATTTCCAAAGTGATGTCATATATTTGTATTGTATTTTTGGACGATTACTGTACTGAATAAATGAAAATCGTATGATCTGGTATTGTACGAGAAACATTTTTGCACTTTTCCCTTTCAGATACTGTCGCAGGAATTGTGATCAGCTCTCGAAGGCTGTGTATTAACAATCGGACGATTGTTCCTCATACGAATATTTTCGCACGGTTTTCTTATCATGTGTATGGGGCATTAGGCTGGCCATACACATGTAGATTTTTGGCCGAGAATAGTCCTAAGAAAAGTTGTACGAAAATTCAAAGAATGGACGAATGTCGTTCGAAAATTGTCTTTTGCTTTTAACATTCAATTTTAAAATGAATGTAATTTTTGAATGAAAACCACATATACTGGCAAAACTTCTTTTGATTGAGAAAAGTTTTCCTTTCTGCCTGATTTCAAATCAAAACAAAACAAAACAAAACTAAACAATTGTTTTTGTTTTGTTTTTACTACCACCGCTAAATGTAATTGTCCTGCTGTGCAGGCCACAGTCATCAATGGTTGGAAAGATGCAAGCTGCTGCAGAGTGTCATTGGTTGCTAGGGCACTGGTGGTGCCTGTGCCCTATTAATAAAGGAAGCTGGGCACAGGGGCGGACTGACAACTCATGGGGCCCCCGGGCAATTGGGGATTATGGGGCCCCTGTGTCCTTGCCCAAACTCAAAAAAGCCTATGAAAAAGGTACCAGGGGCATCTCATGGGGCACCCTACTGACCCCGGGCCCCATGAAATGCAGTGCCCGAGTTTCCAAATGGTCAGTCCGCCCCTGGCTAGGCATGCTGTTTTGCATGAAGGCCTCTCATTCATTTATTGTTATGGTGCACCATACTTAGAGATGGGAAGGCCTAGAAAAAAGAACTCTGAAAAAATTAGGAAAAAAAAACTGTTTTATTTTCCAAAGCCGATTTTTGTTTTTTTTTTCCTGATATGTTACTGCTGTATCTTGTACTTGTTTGAAAAAGTGTCCAGTTTGAATTGCCTCCTTTGAGTAAAATCCCTGGTGCTCCTGCCAATCCCTTTGCTTTCCTATTAAAAACCGACCATGCTACGCATGAGAGCACAGCATGGTCAGTTTTTCTTGCTGTGCTGAGAACTCAGCCTGCTTTCCTCCAATGATTATACTTGTGCTGAGAGAGCCCCCCCCCCCCCTTCCTCGCACAGTCATTCACTGGGGAGACAAAGTGAACTGCTGTTTCTCCTGCCCTAGCTGTCTGAGCTCCTTATGCAGCTGAGGACAGAGGGTAAATGATCACTTATAAAAAAAAGGAAAAAAAAGTATTTACAGTATAATGTTTATTTTTTTTAAAACAATATAAGTTTATTAAATTTTTTAAAGAATATAAAGTACATCGTTCAGAATGTGCAATAATCTAAATAATGACAAAAAGTGTCCAATGTAATCATATGAAAAGAAAGAAAAAAATCTTTATCCACATTAGGAAACAACCAATGCAAAATAATTCCAAAATGTATCAATGCAGTGCTGACTTAGATCAGTCTCATGTGAGATTTGACAAGGAACAGTACCAAGTGTTAACAGTTATATACATAGTATTTGGTCAAACGCTGTGAATCAATTCCACCTAAATGGAAGATTAGATAATTAGCAGAAATATTAAATGTCAAGTATAAAAGAGAAACGTGATGTGGTATCTGCTCCAAATATCACAGCTTAAATAGCTAATATCGGTTATATTTAAAATCATGGTCTGATTATGGTACGTCAAAAATCAAGACCAATAGTGGCAAGGATGCAGTATTGTTAACCCTGGTGGGAAGATTATCCTTTATTCCAGACAAGGAACTCTGAATTAGCTTGCAGTACTAATGTTACTTATTTATCACAGGTACTTGTATAGCGCCATCAATTTAAGCAGTGCTTTACATATACTGTATATTGTACATTCACATCAGTCCCTAACCCTCAAGGGGTGTGTACAATCTAAGGTCCCCAACTTACATTCATACACATACTAGGGACAATTTACACAGAAGCCAATTCACCTAGCAGCATGTCTTTGTGTAGGAGGAAACTTGAGTACCCGGAGGAAACCCACGCAGGCACAGGGAGAACATGCAAACGCCAGGCAGGTGGTGCTGTGGTGGGGATTCAAACCAAGGACCCTAGTACTGCCAGGGGGATGTGCTAACCATTTAGTCACTGTGCTGCCCATGTTAACCTTTTGCCGCCCGGCCAATGGCTGTTTGGCGGCCGGCAAAATCCCTCAGCATTCCGGGTGGATGCCTCCCGGGCATGCGCAGATTGCGCGCCTGCAGAGCCGCGCAGCGGTGCGATCAGTCACCGGCCATGTACCTCGGACACGGCCGATGACAGATCTGAGTACCGGCCCGTTGCCGGTACCATGTGACCTGCTGTGACCAATCACAGCAGATCACATGACACTTGTATACAATGGATGGCTTCATTCATGCCATCCATTGTATACTAGTGTGTCTAGCTGTAAATGGTCACAGCGATCACAAGCACAAGCTGGGCCAATCACAGCCCAGCTGTGTCATGTGAATAGCCGTGGCCAAATCACAGCTGAGCACAAAAAAAAAAAAAACCTTGAATGAATCAATGTCATTCAGGTAAAATGCTTGCTTATAGCAAAGTAATTCTTTGCTATAAGCAAATTGTGTAATAAAAAAATACTAATCACTTCCCTAAAGTAGTACAATGTTACTATGGTAACATTGTACTACTTTGGTCATAGTGAAATAAGAAAAAAAAAATCTTAAAAAAAGAAAATAAATGTAATAAAAAATTAAAAATAATAAAAAATAAAAATTAAAAAAAAAATTATATATTTTTTTTTTATACTGTCACCAGTCAGTGTCCCTGATCACCACCATGCCAGTTATATGATGACGCTGTACTGCACTGGTGACAGTATGTAAAAAAAAAATAGTGAAAATAATTTTTTTAAATTTTTTAATTTTCTGAAAAATTATGACAAAAAGAATATAGCTTTAAAAAAACTCACCATGCCTCTTCTGAAGTACATCGGACTGTCTACTTTACAAAAAAGGGGTCATTTGGGGGATATCTGTACTGTTCTGACATTCTTGGACCTCTAGAAATTAGATTGGCTGTCAGTACTTCAGGATTGATCAATATTCAGATATATCCCATAGTTTGTGAACTCTATAACTTTCCTACAAACTAAAAAAATACATCCTAATATGGGTTATTTTCACCAAAGACATGTAGCTGAATACATCTTGGCCTAAATCTATAAAGAACAATTATTTATTTGCAAGCTTTTATAACAGAAACAAAGAAAAACGTGTTTTTTTTTCAAAATTTTCTGCCTTTTTTTGTTAATTTAGAAAAAATAAAAAACCCCAGCAGTGATTAAATACCACCAAAAGAAAGCTCTAGTTGTGTGAAGAAAATGATAAAATTTTAGTTTGGGAACAATGTTGTATGACCGCACAATTGTCATTCAAAGTGTGAGAGCGCTGAAACCTGAAAAATGGCCTGGGCAGGAAGGGGGTAAAAGTGCCCGGTATGGAAGAGGTTAAACCTAAAAGGTGAGCCTGACTATTGAGGGAGTACTACTCAGGATTCCATTAACGATGTATATTTGTCAGAATAAAAAAAGATAATCCATGCGTTACATGTTTTATGGTAATTATTCAGATGGTCATTAGTCATTGCTTTGGTTTCCTCCATGAAATGTATGACATTGACCTCAAATAACCAATCCTTTATAGAATGAACCTGGGTTCTTTTCCAATGTCTAGGAATCAGAACCTTAGTGGCATCAAGTAAGTGTTTGCTGAAAGAACGTTTGTATCTCTTAAGGAAGTGTGAGGAAATTTGAAATAAGCAACAGGCTCTGTCTAATGTCAGTTTGGTTTCAGTAATTTTAGATATAAGGCCACAAATTTGATTCCAAAAAGCTGTAATGAGGGGGCATTGCCATCAGATTTGAATCATGGTGCCTTCACTTTGATTACATCTCCTCCAACATAAATTAGTAGTTTGTGGAAACGTTATGCAAAGTTAATCAGGAGTAGCATATCACTGTGTGAGTATTGTGTACAATGTTTCTTGAAGTCTTGTACTTATAGAGCACGTGTGAACTAATATGCAAGACTTTTTCCATTGGTTCTCGGAAATAGTCATTTTAAGAGTTTTTTTTCCACAGTTATGTATAAAATTATCACCTTGGGTATTAACCTTTGACTGTAACCAATAATATGCTAATGGTGTTGTTGTCCTATTCTCCTGAGCCTTAAGACAAAGCGCCTCTATGTGTGAAGGGGGTCTAGAATAAAGATGTTTCAGTTTATGATTATCCAGGAAATTACATAATTGAATATATATTCACTGTGGTAATACATGACATTGGCAGCACCTGTAGCACTTCCATGTTTTCCTCATCCCATCCTGTAAACAGTGGGTAGCTAAGAGAGGGGAGCCATTCTCTATGACTGGTATTACATTTCTCTGCATACCTAGAGGGGATTCTGGCTGTTGGCAATAGGTGTAAGAGGACCTGGAATGGAGTCTATGCTGTAAGTGGCAACAGTAATATGAAAAACCTAAAGGGTAGAAGTGATTTATCTGAGCTGGGTAATATTTTTGTTGAATCCAGTATAAATATTACATCTGAAATGAGGTAATGGTACTCTCAAGTGAAATCCAGTCTTTGTTCTGCACATGATAGTTCCAATCTATCTCTCTTGCCAGGTGAGTGGCTTGGAAGTATTGCTTAAAGAGGATATGCTTGTTTTTTAAATCTAAGGTATTTTGGAGAACATTTCTAGTTTCTAAAAGCTCAGTTGCTACCTGCGTAGATAAAGAGTTTATATTGATATTCTAGGCGTGCAATGGTGTTACATAAGTCTTTGATTGTTTTTACCTTGTCCTATTTAGCTTTTGCTCCCCATTTAATGAATTCTCTGCATAAGACACATTTTTGCACTTCCCATGTTATGATAGGAATATTTTTTTAACTATACACAAATGTTTTGCCTTTCATTTCTATTTTAACCACTTGCCTACAGGGCACTTATACCCCCTTCCTGCCCAGGCCAATTTTCAGGTTTTAGCGCTGTCGCACTTTGAATGACAATTGCGGGGTCATGCAACACTGTACCCATATGAAATTTTTATCATTTTTTTTTTGTCAGATAGAGCTTTCTTTTGGTGCTATTTAATCACCTCTGGGTTTTTTATTTTTTGCTAAACAAACCAAAAACAACTGAAAATTTTGAAAAAAAAAAAGTTTTTTTTTTAGTTTCTGTTATAAAATTTTGTAAATAAGTGATTTTTATCCTTCAATAATGAGGCTGCAGTGATGGGCACTGATAGGCTGCAGTAATGGGTACTGATGAGGAGGCACTGGTAGGTGGCAGTGATGCACATTGACAGGTATCACTGATGGACACTGAAAGGCAGCATTCATAAATGGCACTGATAGGTGGCACTAACTGGCACTGATAGGCGGGACTAACTGACACTGTTACGTTGCACTGACTGGCACTGTTAAGCGGAACTGATAGGTAGCACTGATGGGCACTGATAGGTGGCACTAACTGGCACTGATAGGCGGCACTGACTGGCACTGATTGGCAGCACTGATAGGTGGCACTGACTGGCATTGATAGGTGGCACTGACTGGCACTGATAGGTGGCACTGAAAGGCAGCTCAGATGGGCACTGATATGTGGCATTGATGTGCACTGGTAAGCACTGATATGTGGCATTGATGTGGCACTGATGAGCACTGACAGCTGGCATTGATGGACACTGACAGGTGGCACTGATGGGGCTACACTGATCATCAGGGCACACTAATCATCAGTGCCCTGATGATCAGTATACATGTCCCCTCCGCGGAATGCCGATTACTGGCTCTCCTCTGTCAGCGGGACAGCTCGTGAGGAGAGAAATGCCGATAACTGGCATTTCCTTATTTACATGCGATCAGCTGTGATTGGACACAGCTGATCACATGACAGAGCTGACGTCTTCGGCTATTTCCATTGATCTGTGATCAGCTGTGTCCGAGGGACACTGCGCACTACAGATCGCCGCGCTTCGTGCCCCCGGAGCCACGCACGCGCGCGGTTAGCGTGAGAGGACGTCATAAGACGTCCTCCCAGAACAAAAGAACCGCCTTGCGCCCGTCATTTCCTTATATGGTGGGCAGGAGGCGGTTAAACTAAATGGGCTGTTTTACAAGGTGGGGGTTTACATATAGTTTAACTGTATTGCTACAACATAGAGAGCTATGATAGCATAATTTGCAATAGCATAATTGATATGACATGTCCTCTTTAAGGAGACATTTAGGGACCCCACTGATGCTGGCCAAGCACAGATCATGTTTTCCACTCACCACTGCTGGAGAATTACAGCTCTGAAACCAGAATTGGTGAGATGTTCTCAAACTGGACGTGATGAGAAGCTCTTATCACTTCCAGTTTCTCTAATGTGACGCCTGTGTAGGGGGGCTTTGCAGACACCTGAATGACTTTCACTAGAAAGGCAACTAGAGATGTGTACAACGGAAAAATTAGTTTCATTTTGGATTCATTTGATAAGTTAATAATTTTGTTTAGTCACATTTGTTATTTTAGAATGATTCGTTTTCTGAATTCGTTTTATATATTTGTTATTTTGAAATTGATTTAAAATTCAAATTTAGAAATTTGGAAGACAGCAATATTTATTCTTTTCTATTCTGTTTAGTCTTGTTCTATTCTATTCCATTCAATTCCATTTCATTCTATTCTTTTATTGTTTGCTCTATTCCTTTACATTCTATTCTATTTAGCAGCCTAAGTAGCAATCATTATCTTATTTCACTTTTATACTTTACTATATTTATTGTTTAATATGTTTCCATTCCGAATTTGAATTCATTTTGGAAGTTGAATTAATTTTCAAATTAGGAATATTCATTTAGTTATAATTTATTTTGGATTCACTGAAATTTGTTACTGCTGTGATTTGGTAATTTGGATACATCCGAATGCCGAAAATGTAATCCAAATTTCAATTTGTAATGAAACAAATTGCACGTGCCTAAAGCCAACAGTTGGCTAAATACAAATATACAGACTGTTGCCTACTGTAGTACCCAGGGGTTAATTTCTAGGGCTTTGCACCCACAGATATAGTACTTATATGTGTTGCAGTAAAAGGGTTAAGGCAGTCCTCAAACAGGCTATCGAAAGAACTGTGCCTTTGCATGGTTTTGCCTAATAGCTTCTCCCTTCCGAACAACATTTTTTGTAAAAAAAAAAAAAAAAATGACATTGGTGCATGTCCTCCCTGGCAGTGCCCAGATCCCTGTGTCCTTTGTTTGACAATCCCTTCTCTAACCTTGGAACTAGACTGCATTGATTTTCAAGACTTGCCTCCCATTGACTTCAGTCGGGGTTCACATTAAGTTTGCAATTTGCAGATTTTGGATGTTTGTCAAATGCACCTGCGAACCAAACCCAAGTAGATCTGTCTTAAATCAAGCCTTCTTCAAATTTAGTGCAAATATTACATTGCTGTAGTTTTTCAGTTACCATTTGCTGATTGTTCTATTAGAGAGTGTCTCCAGACAACAGGTGAAAGCAATCAGTGAGTTACTAATGTTATGAAGTAAAACACTGCAACTGTGCTCACTTTAGAAAGTTTATTTAATGTACCTTAAAGTTAAAATGACATTTTTATGCTCAAGCCCTGTGTATCATAAACAACTGTCATATTTTTTAATTAGAATTTAGAATGTAATCTCTTTTAATGTGCACTGCCATCAGAGTCAGTTGCATGTCTTTACTCAGGGCAAGTTTTCCTGATGGGAATAGCAGCACAACATGCCTGAACATTTTGCAGTGGAGTGGCTGCATGCAGTTTCCAGGGCTGTGGATAAGGGGATACCACCAGTCCCACTGTACAGGGCCCAGGCCAGCAGGGGCTCCCGGGAAGTTGCGTAAATCGGATGTCGGTAGGGAGGGTGATTAGCATGGTGCGGGGGGGGGGGCAATTACTGGAACCGATCCCCTGTATGGCTCTCTCTGAAAGCTGGCTTCTTCTCCTTTCCCTTTCAGCTGCTGCAGAGAGCCATACAGGATCAGATCTGCACCCATCTCCTTCCCTGTGCACCATACATTTCCCCATGCTGCCTAGGCCCCCTGTGTGCTCCCACCCCCGCAGTACTGTTGGCTTCCCTCCTCTCCTTTCTACTGGCAGCTGCAAGCACACCATAGGATCCTTCAGGATGGAGAGTGGGGGAAGGTTATCGATCACTCACTGTGTTCATTCATACCTGAAGCATAGTAAAACTGTGTTTTTTTTTGGAGACCCTGTGAGGTAGGCTGTATGGAGCCCCATGAGTTCTAACAGCAGCCCTGACAAGGACCACTCATGACAGAGTGACGAGGCAGGAGAACCATTGGGAGACAAAGACAGAAATTGGTCTCCCTAAAACAGAAAGTCATACAATCAAGATTAGCACTGCATAATGTGCAAACAAAAAACACCACTCCAAAGTGATCTATCTAAACAGAATCTACACCATTGTCATGTATAAAAATTGCATATATATGTATAAATATTTGTTCAGATTATAAAAAATATTTTAAACACTTTCCCCACCTCCCACTACAATACAGAAATCCTCTCCTCATGACCCAACCCCCTCGCATGGTCTTCTCATGGGCCACACCAAAGCACTCAATAGTAGTTAGTGATCAAAGGACAGTCTATTTAGATGTTTAATTGCAGTAGTAGTAGTAGTGGCTAATAAGGAACAGTCCACGGTCCCACAGCTAAACACCATGGGAGTCAACTTTTTGGACATCTGGTTACTCTGCACCCAGTGTGCAGCTATTGGTACGCAATGCAGATTTAAGCACACAGTCTCAGGAATCAACTTCAGGTCAATACTCACAAGTCTCCAGTCCATCTGCCACCTTCCAGCTTCCTCTGGACACAACCCAGTGAGTGAGATGGCGCCTTTCTGGACTGGATCCCTGGTAGTGCAGGTCTGCACTCAGATCTGAGCAAAGTCCATTCCAGCTTTAGATTCTGACATCTTTGAGGCCTCTTAGTGCACCTATTCAGTCCATGGGCAGCTTGGCAGCAGCAGCTTCTGCACCTCTGGAACCCTCCTGGGGCGTAGGAACCCTGCTCTCCAGTGTCTCAGGCTATTTATTCACATTCTAGCCCCTTACTTGAGCCTTCCCCTCCAGGGATAGGATGGAGCCCTATAAATATTCAGGCTGGTCTATTTAAGCCTACAGTATGTTTTGAAAGCTTCTTTTAGAGGCAGCAGCGTTCAATCAAACTCTCAGCCTGTGAGACCCTGAACAGGTCTAAACAAACAATATATCTATAAAACTACAAGATATGTGCAAGATAAGCACCACCTATATAAAATTAAACTAAATATTGGCACGGGTAGATTTATCTAACCTCTGTTATATAGCAGATGTGGAGAGTCCTACAGGTCGAAGGAGCTGGTGATCAAAAATGAAATGGGGTACTATCTTAGCAGAAAAGAGTGCTCCATGCACATTGCGGTACAAGTCTGACTGCTCCTCAGAATCTGCAGTATGCTATGTGGAGCAGTTGTATACACTATATACCCTCCATAATGGTATTGCTGTCCAGCACTGTTGATTGTATTCTCTCACAGAGCAGTATGGGACTTGATGGAGGACACCTGACCTGCATGACAACATGCATTCCACCAAACAGAAATTATCTCCATCTGAAGCCTGTGTAACATGGTGACAGCAAATTAAAATATTGAAATGACTTTTGAAAAAACATTAACGTTTTTCCATGTTTAAGAGATTTTATTGTTTTGGCTTTCATTGGATTTAACATGTCACCATCACAGTCACCATCACCACCACTGCTGACTGCTGACAGCAGTGGGGGGATTAACAAGAGGGGGAGGAGATCAGTGAACATTTCTTAGCTAGCTAAGGTGAACACAGAAGCAACTTGCAACACATCACTTCTACCTTCGACTGTCACTCCCCAGCCACTGTTACTGAGGAAGAAGCTAATGGAGAGCGATCTGCAATCTACATGTCTCAACGAAGGAAAACTGTTATCACATAAGGGAATTTTGGCCCCTTTGTAAAAGAAAGTTTAGTGAAAAAAAAAAGAAAAATGCAAAAAAAAAAAATGAAAGTTACACCCAAGCATCTGAAAATAAAAAATCTGCCCCACAAAAGATAGGCTTTCCCTCTATCCCTACTTAAATGCACATCCAAATGTAAACACATGTGGAGAGAGCATCTATTTCCAACAATATTGATTGCAATACATATGTTACACATAATCGCAAACGCTGGAGTCAGGGAAATAATTCTATGGCCATCATTCACAGTTACCTCTAAATAGATGACTTTTAAAGAGTCGCCAATGGAAAATTTTGGGAACCAAGGTTTGTCACTGTTTCATTGGCACATGCAATTTTAAGACTTAAAGTGGTTCTAAAGGCTCAAAGTTTTTTTACCTTTACCTTCCCCCCCAATTCTTACCTGAGCCCCCTACTTATTGGCTGAGACAGCAGCGGGATCCCGTTGGCTTCCATATGCTGTCAATCACAGCCAGTAAGCCAATGAAGATAGAGCGGGGAGGATGGGGCAGAGTCACGGTTCTTGTGTTTTATGGATGTATAGAGCAGCAGCTCAGGGATGAGCACACAGTGGTGCCTCCAGGGTGAATGGCTTTCCCTGGGGGCACTGCTTGATGGGGAGGAGCCAAGAGCACTGACGGGGACCCAAAAGAATAAGATCTGGACACATTGGCTGCCATGTGATGCATTGAAAAATAGTAGTGCATCCAATACTTTTTTTCAGTGCATACCACCACAAAGCAGTGGTGTGAACCAGACAGGTAGGAGACAAGGCATTTTACCTTGTCTTGTGATGGGATTGTGGGCAGCACAGTGGCTGAATGGTTAGCACTTCCACCTGGTAGTACTAGGGTTGTTGGTTTGAATCCCAACCACAGCACCAACTGCCTGGAGTTTTGATGTTCTCCTTGTGCCTGCGTGGGTTTATT